AGAAGCGATGGCCTCCAGCCTAGAAGCGATGGCCTCCACCCTACTAGCGATGGCCTCCAACCTCCAACCTACTAGCGATGGCCTCCAACCTAGAAGCGATGGCCTCCAGCCTAGAAGCGATGGCCGCCAACCTACTAGCGATGGCCTCCAACCTACTAGCGATGGCCCCCAATCTAATAGCAATGGCCTGTAACCTGAAGGCGATGGCCTCCAACCTAATAGCGATGGCCTCCAAACTACCAGCGATGGCCTACAACCTCCTAGCGATGGCCTCCAACCTATTAGTGATGGCCTCCAACCTAAAGGCGATGGCCTCCAACCTAAAGGCTATGGCCTCTATGTTTGTCATCTTTGTCTCTGTGAAAAGCCTTAAAGGTGCATATTGTGGCTTTTCTCTCTCTATAGAATGATAGGTGCTTCTTGGAGTTTTACGCAATCAAAAACATGGCTGGATTTGATCATGAACACTAATATATAAATATAAATATAAATATATATATAATATTTTTATTACTACTATTGTCATTATACTATTGTTATTATTATTACTAGTGTTATTATCATTACTATTATTATATATATATAGAGAGAGAGAGTACAAGGTCACATGGCCAGAATCCACGGTGTGGCGGAAAATTCACTAAGATTAGCTCAAGGCTTTCGCGGCTGCATGTTTAGCTTTTGCCGACCCGCTCAGCCCTAAGACCTCTTTCGCTAGTGAGCACGGACCTTTCTTCCGCTGGATTGCTGACAGCTGTACTCAGCGCAGCAGTGTGAGCCCTTTCAAGCCGGCATTTTACGGTCTTAGGAGAATCCCAGTCGAGTCCTGTTTTGTTGTTTTCTTTGAGAACACCATTGCATCACCTTTTGACAGACTCGGTGCTCCTTTAAGCAGGGCCAAAGTCAGTGTGGATTGGCCGAGGTTGCTGGTGTCGTGGATTTCTGGAGTGCTGAACGATTGCGAACTTGTGGAGTCTACCGTGGAGGGCCAAGTAGTGGGGCAAACTACTTGGTTTGTGCCACAGGGATGCACAGGACTGAGCTTGAATGCGTATCACTGCCAAGCCGATGCCTTAGAGGTCGCCACCATGCCTTGTCTTCCCACTTGTCTCCCTACCTGTCTCTCTGTGTGGTACGTCTTGTCTCCCAAGCAATCGCCTAATCTAGTCAGGAAACAAATCGTACAAGATGAAATGCATCATACGGAAACCCTCTTTCGCCAACCCTTTCGCAACACGACACAATTCACAATGCATTCATCAACAAGTTACAGTTATAAACCTTCCTCCAACCTTCCCCCGAGCTTTCCCCAACTGCAGTTTTTGTTTTGCAAAGACTCATAATCTTGAGCCTAGCTAAATCCTTTGAGGTTTATAACGTTGCTCCTTTGAGATTCCAACCTGCATTGCTCGTGGGGCTGTCACTCGGACTGTTCACAGGGGCTACAAGGCCTCAAAATGTGACAACTTCAGGCTCACAAAGACTCAGAAGCTCCCAATGAGCCCGCAACTAGGGCTGAGCACAGGAACAAAGCCTCAACAATTCATTCTTGCAATATGTCGTTTGCTCAATTTGTATCACTACGTGTCATAATGATTCCTAATGTATAATTCTAACTTCTAGGCAAAACTCAAGTAAGGTTGCTGCTTGGGCTAATAGCAGGAACAGGAACAGCTTGTGGTAACTGCACGGATTGGGCATTGCCTGTGGCTGGCGTAAGCACCAACAGTCTTTTCGGTATATACACTTTCCAGATCTCAGCTCGCAGCTTGGACTGGTCGCAGGGCTCACGGCACGGTACACACTGCCTGGACACCAGGCGCCAAAAAGCAGCCTTCACCACCAAGTGTCTAATCGCCTGGACTGGTCACCGGGCTGACGGCCCGATAAACGTTGCCTTGTCAAGGCGGCACACCGTATGCTCCTCTTCACGTGTTGTTTCATGATAATGCATAGTACTGCATATGATTCCTTCCTTTAATGCCCTGGGTCACATCCTGAAACTGGCTGCAATGCCCTCCTAGGCACACCACCTGGACTACTAACAGGACTCGCGGCACGCTTTGTGGGGCCTCATGGCGGAAATATGTCCTGTGAAGTTTGCGTTCAAAGCCACTAGTAACAAGGACGCTTTTAGGTGGAGGCCATCGCTATTAATTAGTAACAAGAAGCTACTAGGAACAAAGTTTCTCAAGTTTCAAGAACTTCTCCTGCTGGGGCTGGGACTACTGACGGGAATGATGGTTCTCACGTTGCCTCGGAACAACTCAGTCCACATAACGCATTTCCATGTCCAGTCCTACTTTTAAAGCTGGCCAACTCAGTCTTGCACTCGGGCTACTCACTGGGCTTACAGCTCGATAAACAACGCCTCACCACGGCGCTCCTGTCTGGCTTCAAGTCGCCTCTTCCAACAACCAACAGTTGAGCTCACGGCTCGGGCTGCCAACGGGACTGTCTGCTTCGCGTCGAATCCCTAAAGAACAAACTCACACTTCACAATATTGCTCCAGTGACCTGTCAACTGTACTTAGCTGGGTGTACGACTAGTGGGGCTCAAAGGAGACACAGACCGTTGCACAATGCCTGAAGATGAAGATGCCGAGCAAATGCATTTCACTATCAGATCAGAAACTTCCGAGTCTCTGGCTGGGACTGCTGATGGTGCTCGGCGTGCGATAGACCACACCTCACAGTGCTTCGTGTGCACACGTGATCACTCGTGAATCCTCCTGAATGTGATCCGTGTGTATCCCGTGATCTGTGGAACTCTCCAAGACGTTTTCTCAAGTGTGTTGAGGCATCAGGTAGTTGCTCTGCTCTTCCAGTTTGGTCTTCTGGCCTCCGTTGTTGAGGTCGTGTTAGTATATTTGACTCCGACCTAAATTGTATAAAGATGCATCCAAGCATCCACAAAAAATACTTCACAGACTGAGCTGTGAGCACCAAGAGGGACTACGGCAACGCTAGCGAGAGAACACATTCGGCCAGTAGGCCATCTCGTGCTGTGCGTTCAGCTATGATTGACGTAATGATTGGCGGATTCCGCATTTCGGAGCGACACTACGAAGAAAGGATGCTCGTGTTTTTCTGCCAAACGAGAACCTGGTGTATATATAAATGCGTACAACGTTGTTGCCAGATATATATATATATATTGTTTGTGCAAAAAAAGTACACCACGTGTAAAGCGGAGATGACTTGCAACCCTTGCATGTCATTTCAGCGGAAACTCCTCCGCCAAAGTTCTATTGGCAAGGAGATGTGGATGGACGTGTCAAATTGTAGCAGCGCTTTTTGCTTGTGGAGATCAGAACAACGCGATTGAAAACTGTTGCCCTTCAGCAGCAGCAGCAGCAGCAGTGGTAGTGGTAGTGGCTGCAGTGGTATTAGTGGTGCTAGTCTGAGTAGTCGTACTACCGTAGTAGTCGTCGTAATAGCAGTACTAGTGGTAAGTAGTAGTAGTAGTAGTAGTCGTCGTAGTAGTAGTAGTAGTCGTCGTAGTGGGAGTGGGAGTGGGAGTGGGAGTGGAAGTAGGAGTAGTAGTAGTAGTAGTAGTAGTAGTAGTCGGAGTAGGAGTAGCAAAAGCAGTAGCAGTAGCAGTGGCAGCAGCAGAAGCAGTAGCAGTAGCAGTAGGATTAGTAGTAGTAGTAGTAGTACTACTACTACTACTACTATTACTACTAGTAGCAGTAGCATTGAGTAGTTAGGTCCAAGATCTCAGAGCCTTTGGTACGGAAATAGCCCTGACAAGCTAAGAGTGCGACGGCTTGTAGGGCTCACTGAGCGATCTTAGTACCATGTCATTCAGTGATCCCGATCTTAAGTAGATGCCCAACAGTGAGTTGATGGTGTCCAGTACCTTTCTCGTCTTTTGAATGTGTATCGTATCGTTGTTCGGTCTTACGCTGTCGATCTTGATTCCTGCGTTACACCTTATGCTTGTGTGGCTTAGCCGTGGTGTCTGGGGTAGTCAAGTGACGTTACCAACTGTCTGGAAACCACCCCACAAATTTTGCGGAAGGGACCGTTGAGGGGCGAGACGCAGCATCCGCAAGTTCGATATGTCACGCAGTTGTTTTTTGTTTTTCTTTTCGTGTTTTTTTCCTCAAGTGGTCCACTCAGGTCCGTGCTCGTGGTGTCCAGCGGAGTATGAAGGGGCACATCCCCCCGTTTCATGTACACCGGCGCTGCAACAGTTCTTGACGCTTCACCTAGGCTCGACAGCAAGCCGAACATCCTCCCGGCCGCAAGCGGTCGAGACCGCTCTTGAGCCACGCGTCCACTCACCACGTCAAATCAGCTCCCGTGCGTCTTTGGGAAACTTAACTAATAGCCATGGCCTCCAACCTAGAGGAAGTGGCAAAAATCAAGCCCACAGCAACAATTCCATTTACGGCCATGCAGCTATACCAAGATTTGAAAGAATACTTCGCTCATTTTTACCACGAGGAAACTGCGGAAGAAGGCACCAATGCAAAGCTTTCATGCATCTCTGGTCCATTTTGGCCGTCCAGAAACACACCTCTCACAAAGCTCACGGCGCAATTGCGGTGTCTGCCTGGCTTGCCATCGGTACAAATGGCCGCTGATGACTCGGAACTGTATCAATTTCTCAAGCCAACACAAGCCACCAGTACCCATTTTGGACGAGATTTGCTCCTCAGATCAGGAAAAGGAAATGCACCATACCAAATGCATCCAAATGCCTTTCAAATCCTGCACTTCATTCGAGGCTTCTGCTGAACTGCCTCCATGCCGGCCTTGCTCTCCGGGCCTGACCATTCGACCGTGCTTTGCATCACCACAATGCAATACCGACAGCCATGCCTTTGCGGATATCAGCCACGATGCTGGCCACATAGTTCATCCTGACATTAGAGAAAATTCAATAAATATCACCCGTCGCTTCTAGGTTGGAGGCCATCGCTATTAGGTTGGAGGCCATCGCTAGTAGGTTGGAGGCCATCGCTAGTAGGTTGGAGGCCAACGCTAGTAGGTTGGAGGCCATCGCTAGTAGGTTGGAGGCCATCGCTTCTAGGTAGTCTTCGTTTCCAAACATGCCAAGGCCACATGAAAGAGGAGGGTGGCACACCCACCTCACACACAAAGACACTCCAAATATGCCTTGTGGATGGAGGGGCATTTGAGGTCCAGTCAGTATTCATGACAACTTCTTTGGTGGCAGCCTCAGCGAAAGCAACGCATTGAGCATCGTACAGGCATTGAGCATAAGCAAAAGGGGTTATTGCAGTCGGTTGAACTAGCGAGATTTTTGGGTTAGCAAACAAGCAAGTTCTGGCTGCTAGCTTGGTCTGAGTGTTGAAAGCTACGTCACTGGGCACCCTACCACAGCACCAGGCGCACAAAGCGTCATCCGATCGCATACCGCTTGGCTTTCAACCTACCGAGTCTACTCCATGTTTGCAACCTACTAGCAATGGCCTCCAACCTAGAAGCGATGGCCTCCAACCTACTAGCGATGGCCTCCAACCTACTAGCGATGGCCTCCAACCTACTAGTAATGGCCCCCAACCTAGAAGCGATGGCCTCCAACAACCTACTAGCGATGGCCTCCAACCTAGAAGCGATGGCCTCCAACCTAGAAGCGATGGCCTCCAACTTACTAGCGATGGGCTCCAACCTACTAGCGATGGCCTCCAACCTACTAGTGATGGCCTCCCCCCCTACTAGCGATGGCCTCCAACCTACTAGCGATGGTCTCCCCCCCCTACTAGCTTTGACAGACCACAAAATTGGTAATTTAGCATAAATTGTCAAGTGAAGACTTGGCCAAACATTTGTCGGTCGCTGCCGCTCTAGGCTACCCCCGATTTACTTGGACCTTCTTAAGGTCGGATGAGAGCCTCGAGATCTTTTGCCTCGTCTACAACCTTGTCAACAAATCCATATTCCTCCGAGCAAAATGACAGTGCTGACAACAGTACAAGCCTTGGTCAATGTGTTGCAACTGAATTCTTGCACCGTCCTCTGCAACCTCTGCATTTATTCTGGCACCAGCCAAAACCAACTGATACCTAGAAGGCAGGAAATGTTATACTTCAACAAGAATGCCTTTGTATCGCGCAAGTATGTCACGCTTTTCAAAGCTTCGACGGCACAGTGCGGTTGCCTTTCGATTTCTGTAGTTCTTCCCTCTGAGCCCTTGGCACATTCTTGATGAAAGTGCACCGCCTGCCAGAAAGAGCCTTTGATTTAGCACCGTGACCGGTCATGTCTTGCCTTGTGATGTACGGCAATGCTGCAGAGGGAACCTTAGGAAGTATGATGAAACGAGCAATTGAACAGTGAACATTCACAAGTGACTAACACAGTATGATTGGTGATCGTCTTATACCTAGTCTTAGTCGCCTCAGTATACATGGTATGTTCAAAGCAGTTGAGCGGTGCAAATCCCTCCAGGAAACTGCTCCAAGCTTTGCTTCGCTCATGGTGAAGAAGGCACCTAGCAGGAGATCAACATCTCTATCAAGTCCTGCAAAAATGGCCGAAATGTGTTATTCGTTACCACGGTCCAACAATGAAGCACCTTTAACTGAAATTACATAGTCACAAGCGCACACCAGGCCAATGCCAGCCTCAGCAAACTGATCATTCATGTTGCAAATCCGCATGCTCAGACTGCACCCACGTTCATAGGGCATGAAAATGACATGGAGGCATGGAGGTGTCAAAGTTCAGTACAATCTCTGAGCTCGAGGCACCCATCGCTGTGCCCTGAAGTACAGCGACAGTCAACTGCTGCAACCTGCAATCGAGGAAAGGGCTCTTGGCCATGAAATACGAAGGTCCAAGTCACGGCAGAGATGAAGGAAGGTCCAAGTCTGCGGTCACAATGTCAACACATACTCTAAACCCTAAACCCTAAGAGCGATGGCTTCCGACCTAAGAGCGATGGCCTCCGACCTATGATGTGAGTACTCATGTGTGCGTGGGCATTCATCGGCTTTCTGGGCTTTCTAGCTTTGCCGGTACAAATCGCACACACTTTTGTCCCACAGCGGCACGGAGTCTTTGCAGCAGACTTTCCTGGGAATGGGAGGAAAAGACGTAGTCTGGGCCAAACCAAAGGCTCTGCTTTTCTGAAGCACAACAAGCACCTGGGAACAATAGCAAAAAGAAGGGTCATGCTGAATTGAATAGAAACGTAAACTATAGGCACACAAAATACGTTAGGTGTTCTTAATAGCTTGCTCCATGGTGCAGCCAAGGCGCCAAAAGCGCCTTTTAACCAGCACGCTCTTCGTCAGGTTTCTGCGGGCTAAACAGGTGAAACTGCCACTGCTCGTTTCGTCTGGTTTGGTCAAATGTTCAAGTTGATTCTTACTGGTCTTCTACTTTGGGCCTCATCCACGCCAGAGCCCGGTGGTGGAGAATCCGTCTTGCAAACACCTCCCACACTTTGCCGAGCTATCTGCCAGGTGAGCACTGGGGGCCTCAGAGGGACACGACATGGTGATGTCCCGGGCCGAGCTTGTGAGTCGTGAGTACTTCTTCGGTCTCAGCCACCTATAATGCCTGGTAATGTCACCGTGTTTTGGCCATGACATTTGGACGAGAAGCATGGACAGTCTACTGCTCGCACTTTCAACAAGAACAGATTTGTTTCCGCCACTTAACCGGGGAGAGGTGCTCCATCTCGTACGTATGATCTCCTGCATCCAAGTTGCGGTGTCGGGACCGGCGGCTTTGGGTTCAGGAAGCCGCAAACGCGAGGGAACTTCGGCTTTGGAGGTGGCTGAGTTGCGCGCAAAGATGCAAAACCAGGAATGCAAAATGGATCCGATGCTGTGCTGCTGGCTAAAATGTGCAAAATCAATCCTTCTTGACTTCTAAACCACTATACCGACGATACATGACTATACCATAAACTTGAACTTGCTGCAACTTGCTCGTGTTCTGTGCTTTGGTGCACGAAGTCTTTGATGTCGAACAAACTAAACTGGCAGGCTGCAGGCTTGCGTTGAGGAGTTCTTGCAGCCCTAAGCAAACGCAAGGCTTGCATTTCTGAGGCTTGAACGGGAGGCTTCCAATCCTAGGGAAAACTCGTGACAGCTGCTTCGGTGGGAAACATGCAGTTCAGAGCTGAGTCTTGGGCCACATCAATACCTTGGCACCACAAAGGCTGTGCAACATGCAAATGCTGGAGCCAGGTTGTGAACCTCTCCATCGGTCCCAAGGGCACGTGGCCTTGATCCTTCACTTTGTCCAACCGACTCCCCCACGACAAGAATGACTGAAAGTGAGACCAAAAGGGAGTTCAAAAGGTCTCTTGGTATCTGGCGACTTGCCACCTGAGTTGAATCCCCTGATGTTTCACCTAGAATCCATTGACAAACAATTGAATAATTGCCTGATCAAAGGGGCCCTTCTGATTTTCCATTTCCTTCTTTTCCATGTGTTTTTCCTAGCAGAAAGGAATTTGTTCCTCATTCTTCTTCCGTCGAGGAGCATTTGGGACTCTTCCCTCCGGTGCACTTTAGCCTCACTGGCGGCACCTCGCAGAGCGCCTTTTTGGCGGCCTCCTGGTATCTGGCGTCGTTGGCCAGCTTGGTATCTCAGCGGAGAGAGTTTTCAAGTACTCAGAGGATTTGCGAAGACGGGACACTGAGTTAATTGATCCTGCTGCGTCATATAATAGGTTTCCAACTCCTCTCAACTGACCTCTTCGATGGACTCGGATGTACTCACTGAAAGGTCCTTTTACCCTCCTTACGAGGGGAATCTACGGCATGACGTCCAAGATTGACCTCGGGTTGACTTCCATAGATCACGGAAATACAGCGCCATGTGCGAAAGTAGGCTGCAGAGCGGCTCTTGATGGCATGGTAGGTGTGAACAGGCCTCGCAAAAGTCAGCGGAATTCATCTGCCAGACATCTCGTGCCAGGACAAACAATCTCTCAAAGCTATATACGGTTATACAGTTATACAATGATGGTTTTACCTTGGGCCTTGGGCGTGACATGGCGTGACATTAGACAAGCCACGCGCTGGCACCAGATTCATCTTCAGGGCCATTGCCTTTGGGTACATGACATGATGTGACATCAATAATTAAAGCAAAAAAACACGTATATACCTGTATACTATAATTAGAAGTGCCTCTGCGAAATTCAGCCAAGGATCTCATGCCGTGCTTGGATGATTTGCCGCCAGAGTAAATGATCCGCACCTGACCTTTCGGACATCCTTCCGTCTCCTGAAACCGATTGTATCTCTCCGTGTCGCCTCTCCTAAACTGGAAACTTCATACACCATGCTGTAAACAAGCGCATCCGAATCGGTCTCAGCTTCTTGAAGCCCAGCCTCCCAAACCAGGACTGATTTCTGTCGCTTCAGTGGGAACCACCTTCGGACGGTCACGGTTGTATTCGGAAACTCGACGGTTGTATTCGGAAACTCGGCGGTTGTATTCGGAAACTCGACGGTTGTATTCGGAAACTGGAATGGTTGTATTCGGAAACTCGACGGTTGTTGTATTTGGAAACTGGCCGCTTGGATTCGGAAACTCGACAATGCCACCGGCCTCAACAATGCACGGAAGCTTACTGCCCCAGCCCCACACCCCCCCACCTCCCCCCCCCACCCCACCCTAACCCACGAAAGCATTGGTCCACACAACCACCTACGGAAGCTTACTGCCCCAGCCCCACCCCCCCCACCCCACCCTGAATACAAGAGAACGCATCAACTGACCACGCAGGTGGTTGTTCACATCGCCCCCTAGTTTGGGAATAAGAGTTTCTGAGCATGAGGGACAGTAGTTTCTGAATACGACGAAAAGAGTTTCTGAATACGACGAAAATAGTTTCTGAATACGACGAAAATAGTTTCTGAATACGACGAAATAGTTTCTGAATACGATGAAATAGTTTCTGAATACAACGAAATAGTTTCTGAATACAACGAAATAGTTTCTGAAGACCAGTTTCTGAATACAGTGCAGTTTCTGAATCCGACTTTGTTCACCTTCGGACAGCTCTTGCGGTCAAACGGAAGGCGCCAGCTCGGATCACTGCAGCTGAGGAGCCATTGTGGGAATTTGAAAACGAATGGTTCCTTCATCACTTCGGCAATCTCTTCCACCTATCGCCGCTTTGCTGCACACCAAGTTTAAGATGTCAGATTGTTCTGTAATAAGGTGTTGCCAAGAGACTCACACTCTCTTCTAGCTAAGGTCAGCACAAGAACTCGTTTGCCATCTTTGTACTTGGGCAGAAATTTCTTCTCTGATTCTTAGTGTGTGTGTGTATATGTTGAGAGAAAGAAGCTGGCTTGCATGGGTTTTCCCTTGTTTCCGTCAATGCCCTGCACCCTGGCTCCAAGAAGCTGTCGTAGAGATACTTCCCCACTTCGTAGCCTTTAGCTGTGGTCCCCCACATTTTGCCTTCCAAGGGCTTGTACCTAGGCTACAGTCTCGAAGAGCGGTATTCCTCGAAAGACATTCACCGAGGCCAAGACTGCTTGGCTTTATCATCCCATTCCAATTTTTGCCCCAGGTATGGAAGCTTCTCCCCCAGCTTCTCTCGATCAATCTGCTGGTCGTCCACCAAGAACTCCCTCTCCCTGGGTTCGAGGTTCCTTTCCTCAGTTTCCAAACACTTAAGAAGTCAGCAGCACTCCATTTCTTGACATTCATTAGACCGAGAGCAGGAGCTGATGTCAGGGTCATTGAACAGCCGTGAATCAGTAGATCGACAAGCCTCATTGAAAATATCATAAGACTAGCTGCTAGCTGCTAGCCCTGGTCTGTACACTTTGAAGTAAGCGTACCTTTATCCACTTGATGCCTGGGCACCTTGTAGTAGATGTCCTTGAATCGCATTGGTCCGTTGACATCAAAGCAAAAGCCATCAGGGTTTCTCTCCCTGATGGCCATAAAGGCCCCACCAGGCACTTTGCTGGGCTGTCCGCCCATCGCGGCATCAGGGACCAGGAAAAGCAGACAGTGGAAACGAAAATCAATATGATTAGACTTGTCTGCCTGCACTCTGACACTTCAGCGCATAGTCTTCATTCATGGGAGTTGAGGCTGTTTGATGTATGCACCAAGCCAAATCTCTTTCTTGTACTGTAAGGCTATTGGAGCTGTGCCCTAAAGGTCTGCACTCTGGCGCAAGGTTTTACCGCACGTCAACACATGATGAATCTTGCACGATCAATAATCCAGAGTCGCCTCTGCAAGAAGTAAAGGACCTTGGCCTCAGGTTGGCATGAGAATATCATGAAAATCATCACCCGGCTGAATGCAATGCGAATCTCTAAGTGCCTAGCATACTGAATCTGAAATGCAATGATGGCCTCACGAGTTGAGCAGCTTCCTGCTTAACACCCGACTGTCGGTCCTTGGGGCTTATCTAAACGAAGTTGACCAGGATGACATTTCATGTGGAAAAAGAGATCCAAGTGATCCAAGCCTCGTCAGACATGGTGGACTCCGCAAGGAGATGCTTTGGGTCAAAGCCGTTGGAAAAGAATTTCCCTGTGGACCTCGTTGGAGTTGTTGTGCCCAGTTTGCAAAATAAGTACCAAAGGCTGACCAGGGCTGCAGCTTTAACAGGACTACCCTGACATCTGTCCTGTCCTCAACTCAAATAGTGCAAAAAAGCAGTGGTAGAACGTTTGGGACAGCAAAAGCGGACTTCTCCTGCAGATCCATGATGGCATCCTAAGTGGCACGATTCCCGTCTTGAAACTTGTCCTGCACAATTGCTTGTCAGTAAACAGGTTTGACATTGGAACTAAGGCCCAACTTGAAATGCATCCAGCATAGCTGGGTTGAGGCCATTCTCGCCGTCGCCTTTGAGAGGCTCGACAATGGAGAAGTTTGATCAACCCAATGGAGACTTAGCTGGATGTGTTTTCTCTGGTTTGCAAGGACGCTACTAGTAACAAGGGGCATCGCTACTAGGAGCAAGCAAGGACGCTACTAGGGGTTCCTGGCCTTACTACTAGGAACAAGAAGCTACTAGGGCTCCTGGCATCGCTTCTAGGAGCAAGGACGCTACTAGGGGACTCCGTGGAATGCACCCTCCCGCCTGAATCCATCTGCAGCGTGGCACATTGGGTGCCAATCTTATACTTCAGGCATTGATGTCTCCAATTCTGGGCAAGAATGTCTGAGAGATCAAGTGTCTCAGACATAAAGCTTAAAGGCCGGGCCTTGTAATTGCACGAGGCTGGCTTGTCAAAGCCATCTACCTCTCATTCTCTGTGGGACCGCAAAAAGGACTGTTCAGACTCCGCGCAAAATCAATGGACCAAGCGTCATGAGCCCTGGCCTTCTCTTCCCATGGAAAGGTGCTGTACAAAGGACTCGGTCCGGCCGTCTTTGCCACAACAACTTGTCACGTGCCGTGCCGTCCGGCACTTTGCAAAAAAATAGACGAAACGGCCAAGCTTCAAGTGCCCCCGCAAGGCTTCATGTTATTGTCAAACAGTCATCAGTAGAATCATCAAAATTATCGGAACCATTCCAAAGATCCTTCATCTGATCTGAACTATATAATTAAATATGCGAATGGATTTTTGGATGTTCTTAGTTCTTGTAGCGTGTGTTCAATCGAATACGTGTTCTTTAGCTCTTCCTTTCCAACCATCTTGGATAAGCCATCTGGATCCACTCCAGGCTTCCGAGCTTGCACGGCTCCTCAAAGCTGGGACCCCGTGGTTCAGTGGTGTCGATGTCGTAGCCTCGACATTCACTTGTCAATGAGAAGAAGAGTGCGAATCCAGATCTCTACTTGGGGCAAGTCTGAGAGACACCCCCAATGGCTGAGCGCTGTGAAAGGGTGGGAGTCCGAATCTGTTTTGCACCCAACGTTTTGTGCGGAAAGGGGTGGAATGCAGAAGTGCATCAGCTGGGTACTGAAACCAACTTGCGGTCCCAGAATGCATGCGGCAATTGCAAATGAGTAAGACTGAAGTAGTACCCATTACTCAAGGCTGAACAAGCCAGGATGTGTTTAGTCTAGCTTAAACAGCATGAGTGATCGAGGAACCCGCAAGCAAAGTCAATTCGTTCAGTGAAGGGTCCCGACAAAGCCAAAACCAAGACCCCTTTTTGCTCAAGCAAGCTAAGCACAGTTTTCGCCAAGAGAATCTTTGTTCTCCCGCTCTAATCACTATGGTGTCAGCGCAGCATAGCATCAAACAAAGTTGTTGCCTCAGTGTCATCAAACTTCCGAGCCTATGGGTAGTTCATGCATCCGAAAGGGAACAATCCTCTCAGCGTTTCTTCCTCTCAGGCTGTGGCTGTCGGATCCGCCTCCACGGTCGCAGCTGCAGTTTTCACAGCGTTCCAGAGTTCTCCGACCGTCGAGCCTTTGAAATGGTCATACCTGGGTAGGCCAGCACTGGAGGTGAACGTTGTCAGAATACTGGAGTCTACGGAGTTATGACCAAAACTGATGCATTTAACTTCCCAGGTGCACGTGTGCAAAGCCATTCTCACCACAGATCTGCTCGTGCAAGTCCGTGGGAATGCAAGGCTGTCAGTGGCAAGGAGCAAGGGTGACATCAGAGAAAGGAACCAAGTCAAAAGGGATGCAAATCCAACTCGAAGACATTTCGGCTCTGTTCAGGATCTACAAAGGCTCACAACGTTGAGGGATCTACTAATTTTTTTGCTGTGCCCGGCCTTGCCGTCATTGGTTTGCGGAAAGAGCCCAGAGGATGGGATCCACGGCTGCGGTTCCATGCAGCAATATCTCTGCGTCGTGCCAGGTCCTGGAGACGCAAGAAAAACACAAAAAGTCTGACACGAAGAACGAAAAAGAGGTCTGGGGGAGGCCGCTAGAAGAGATAAAAGGGGTAGTAGCACTAGGCGAAGTTAGCTTCTAGTACCTGGACGCGGGATAGCTCACGCACAAATGATTGGTTCCTAGAGATATTTTCAGGGAAACTTACAGTAACTAATGCTACTCATTATGCAACAGTAGTCGTCCTCGTCGACTCAAGACCTACATTCAGAGCGAACTAGACTTTCATAGCCTAAGCAGAGTGAAGGTAGTAACAAGAAGCTATTAGTAACAAGTGCATCGCTTCTAGTAACAAGTGCCTTACTAGTAGTAACAAGAAGCTACTAGGAACAAGTGCATCGCTTCTAGTAACAAGTGCCTTGCTGCTAGGAGCAAGAAGCTATTAGTTAATTTAATTTGATCTTAATTTATAACAAGAAGCTATTAGCACACGGGTTCCGCTCACAGGTCCGTCCTGCAAATGCATCGTCGCAGCTTTGCAGGCACTTGATGCAGTCTTCTCTCGCATGGATTAGACATTGGTTGGAGGGGTTCTCTGTGAAGCTTGAGTAGATGTAGTAGTCCAAAAAGGGAGCCTGCAAAAACAAACGGAGCTCAGCACCAGCCCCAGCCGAAAAGCTCGCTGCGGCTTAAGAACTCCTATCTGCGTGCTGTCCAGAGGCGTGTCTCTTGGTCTTGTTTTTCTGCTCTTTTCAAGCTCGTTTCTATGCAAAAGAACCAAACAAATCTCTGGCGTTCTCGGTTGATTGTTTCTCACTCCTGGTCCCAAGATTGTTGAGCCAACGCTTGGCCCATCCAGGCGACCAGTGCGAAGATCTGGCTGTTGCCCCACCATACTCCTGAGGTCTTCCGGTCGCGTTCCGCGTGGGATTGGCGTGGGATTCATGTGGGCATTTTGCTGCGTCGGGGCAAACAGATGGGCTGTCCTGATCCCCAGGGACCAGAGCCAATGGACTTAGCCATGGATTTCAATATCACCTGTCACGGATTGTCACGGCAATTTCTTGTTACTACTAGTAAGGCACCTGTTACTACTAGCGATGCAGCTGTTACTAGAAGCTTCTTGTTTCTACTAGCTTCTTGTTACTACTATAGTAAGGCACTTGTTTCTAGACTGGAAGCTGCAAGCTGTAAGTTCCCCACCTGGACGTCGGGGTGCCAGAATTGCAAGGACACTGCATTGTACCAAGCTTTGACCTGGCGCATACACTGATGGAGGCACCGGAGGTCAACAGGCTGAGCTACCACCCACTAGTAATTAGTCACTACAGGTATGAAGACGTCTAAGTCTAAGTGTTGCTGCCTAGACTCATAGACTCTGAGGGCAGATTTTCATTTGGGCAAGAAGATCACGTGGAGAAGGTTCTCCTGCCTGGTTCTCGAAGCCATAATCCCCGCTCGTCTGGAACTGGATGGGATTCTGGTTAAGCCTTTTTCAGATGCAAGGCCATTAGTAACAAGGCACCTCCTTGAAGCAACAAGCCACTAGGTGGAGGCCATCGCTACTAGGGTGGAGGCCATCGCTACTAGTTGACACATTTCTAGCTGCAAAACTTCGAGGACGCTTTCTAAAGCGGGCTTTCTCTGCAAATATGTTGATGGAAATGGCACAGCACTCGCTATCAGCTCTTGCCTGCATGGAGGAACATCATTGGCCAGCCCAGCTTGTTGATTGATGCTCTGAAAACCTCCAAAGCAGCAAAACTCAGACTAGGAAAAGACCAACCCCAACACACAGAAACATCCAAGGGGTGCTCTGGCCATTGGCCTTCTGGCATTCTCAAGTCCGAAGGCAATGCATAAAAACCATCTTCCCAAAGATTTGATTGAGAACGCTCCTCATGAATTCTCCCCAAATGTCCGCTGTTACTCAGCATCGGCAATGCTTTTGCCATCTTAAGGGCAGTCAAGCTATCTATGGAAGAGCTCTGGCCTAAAAAGGGACTCATCGCACTCATCTGGGCACTCTGTCCACCAATCTGCACCGGGACCAGGTCTGAGGTCATGGGCACAGCCAGATTTACCACAGGGTTACCTTGGTCAACCATGATTGGCAAAACAAAAGATACCCGTTGAGAAAAACAAGCGATGTCCACATGGCAAACATGCAATACATTCTGTCGCGGTGTAGCAAAAAACGCTCGCCTTGGTTAAAAGCTGGGCCAATATCCCGTGAGGTCCCATCAAAGTTGGCAAAGATCCTTGGCGTCTGCGAAGCACAGTGCGTTCCTTGCGCTTGTCCGCTCTCTCCGCGCCTTCGGGCTCCGATGACATAGGCAGGCACCAGCAAGGAAACGCCTTCACTGGCAATTGGCGAGGCCTCTCAAGCAATCACACTTGCCTCATGAGGGTTGAACTCCAAGAGCTTGGAGGCCATGCAGTAGCTGAAGTGCAATTGTTTTTATGTCAAGTCAAACATAATCAGCTGTTACAACGCAAAAATGACCCTGGCAGCCTTACAAACTATTGTTCTTGCTGCAAGTAACTATAGGTGTGTATATATGTACTGTAATAATATGTAATATATATATATATATCAAGGAAATCCAAGAAAGCTTCTCAATCTCCTGAAATCAAAAGATGAAAAACTTGCACCCTTCAAGAATCCGCCTGTTTCTTGCTCCGAACCACTGGTCACTGCATACCACCCTGTCACATCTTGCCTCTTGGGACATGAAGAAGCTGAGAACCTTGATGGGTAAGAAGAAGCTAGTAGCAACAAGTGCATCGCTTCTAGTAACAGGTGCCTTACTAGTAGTAACAAGAAGCTATTAATATATGTTAATTTATTTTATTTATAATAGCTTTTTGTTACTACTAGTAAGGCACCTGTTACTACTAGCGTGGCACTTGTTACTAGTAGTAACAAGAAGCTATTAGAATTTATCTAATTTAGTTTAATTCTAATAGCTTTCTGTTACTACTAGTAAGGCACCTGTTACTAC